GATTGGGACACTTGTGGGACTTTTCTGTTTCTCTTCTATAAAATAGTACTTTCCATGTGATTTTTTTTTTCTATTACCAAACTATAAACTCTTTTTTCCCCTAGCATTGGGCCTATTCATTCATAGTAAGTATACTATTTCTCGAATGAATGAGTGAATGGATAGGTGATCCTGGAAGAATCACCTTCTAATAGAGATCTACTATCAACAAAAGAACACAGTTATTCAGACAAAAAGGGAATATGTTTACATCCTGCCTCTCTATCTCCTTTGTTTTATGAACTTCATTGTCTGTGGGGAGGAGAGCTCGTGACAGATGCTTGTATTCTTGTAACAAAGATGTAAAGGACAGGTGGGAAGGGTTCAGAGCAGAAGCTAGAATTAGAAAATGTCTGTGGAATCAGTGAAAACTTTGCAGGATCATCAAGTTCAGTACAATAATAGTGCTGATGTCTGTATTCCAGTCACAGTTCTCGAAGTTACTCTACATTGAAGCATACCTATGAGGAAAATGCTCTTTCAATTAAATGGAGAATACTTTTATAAAAAGCTTTCAGTCATAAAAAATCCAAAATCCAACATTCCTGCAGCAAACATCTATTAAATACATACTTTATAACAAGCCTAATGCTACAAACTAGAAATGCCAAGATGAACACAATCTTATAGTCTACCGGGGAGACAAACAACTAACTCATATAATATATGTAGTATAGCAATGACCGGAACAGAAGTCTGTGGAAGCCCAGAGAAGAGCATTATTAATCCTGCCTGGCCATGGGGAAGGCTTTATAAAGACATGACATTTATGATGGATATTGAAGGATGAATAGAAGTTTGTTCAGAGGAAGAGATAAAAGCTAATAAAATAGAATAGAAATAGTAAGTATTAATATTAGAAACTAAAGTCAGATTTGTTTTCATCACAGTCAACAAATACACTAACTTTGCCCAAAACTGATCAAAATATTTTGATCCAGAATAGTCACATTTATGTTGTTTTTTATCTATAGTTGCTTGTATGCTTCTCTGGAGAAGAAAGAAGACAAAAAGGATTGTGCTTATGCCTTTCTGTCACTGGAACAAGTATAGCTTATGTCCAACAAGATCAAGTATAAAATGCTGTTGACCACATAGCCCTAGAAGACGTGAACAATTCCATATGAGGACCAATCAGTACTGCAGTTCCGGTGTTTGAACTGAGCAAGCTGTTTCTTAGCATCTGTGAAAATGCCTGAACAATAATTACAAAATTAGTTTTTCACTATCAAGACAAAGCAGAGAATGGAGACAGTGATCTAACAGAGTCTCAAAAGGTTAAGATTTGTCCCTGAGTGGAATGATTAGAATAAATCTCTCTTTTCTCTCTTTTTTTCTCTATTTTTCAGTTTGAATAAATGCACAGCAATTGTCCAAATTCCATCAGAGAAAGGTCAGCTCATGTTGGGTCATCCAGCTTTGATTCCTAGAAAGGGCCTAGAGCAGAGTATTAAAGTTAAACCAAGTGTTTTGAAATACATATTTGCTCATGTCTGTCTTTTCCATATGCTTTCTGTATTAGTTTGCTAAGGCCAGTGCACAAATTACCACAAACCGAGTGGCTTAAAAAAACAGAAATTTATCCTCTCACAAGTCCGGAGGCTAGAAGTCTGAAATCAAGGTGTTTGCAGGGCCATGATATTTCTGAAGACTGTAGAGAAGAATCCTTCATCCCCTCTTCCTAGCTTCTAGTGGTTGCCTGAAAGGATTGTAGATGCATCACTCCAATGGGGGAGCTTCTCCGAAGTGAGGAGATGCTTAACTCCAATTACTGCTTCCATCTTTACACAGCATTCCTCCCTCTAGATATCTGTATCTTAATCCCGTATGACTTCATCTTAACTTGATTACATCTGCAAACAACCTATTTCAAAATAAGGTTATGTTCACAGGTCAAGGTGCGCATGAATTTGGGGGGAGCCGTTTAACCCAGTATACTTCCCTTATCAAATCTGGGAAGGAAATTTTGCTCTGCATCATTTTCCAACTGTTCACCTGCAAGTAGTTGGCAGCGAACAGTAAAATTTTGATTTAAAATTTTATTCTCTTGTGTGAATTCTTTGAGATAACAGTAGCTCAGTTTAATGATTGCTTATGTCTAGTCAAATAATTTTT